ATGATACATACATGCATTAATTGTTTTCGATTTCTTATGAGCTCACAAAATTTTGTATGGGTAATTTAATGGAAAGTCTACTATAAAAAACACAAAGTATTCACATTGTTTTTTTCTTTTCTGTCAGGTTTTGCAGAGAATGCTTTGCTGATCGTTTTAGCAAAAACATTTTTTTGAATTAGTTAGAATATAAGGGTATTAAGATCAAAATACAAAAAATCAGTTTTTATGTTTTAAATATATGCTTGTTTAGTATTTTAACTGTTACATTCTTATTTTTTGGTCAATTTAAAGCTCTTTTTACCAAAATGATTAGCAAAAAATGCTTTACAAAATCTGATAGAAAAGAAAAAAGAATGCGAATACTCTGTCTTTTGTGGTAGAGTTCCTAGGAAATTACCTGTATAACTCTATGAATTTTCCTTGTTCTAAGTGCTCTTTGTAGAACTGTGCTCTTTGGAGTGCTGCATCTTTGGTTAGGGATTCCTCGCGAATAATCCAAGTTGGACCATTACGGTATTCATCGGACGACGATCGTTTGTGTTCACGATGATCCTCGTCCATAGTCACTCGTATGGCATACCATAGACTCTAAATTTTCACTTATTTATTCCAAGTCTTTAGATAAATACTTAAAAACAGATACTTGTGTAATGAGAATCGCGAATCGTTGTTTTGCTTTCGAAGTACCATAAATACATTCGACACAGGTTCCTATCAACCGTTGGTTTTTTTGCTCCTCTATCACTTCTTCTAGAGATGTCATTTCTGAAATAAACAATTAAATGAAAATAGTATCGAATATTTATAACTACAATTGTTATCATTTATTTGTTTAAAGCAATAAAAAATCTTGTCATGAGATAAGGTGATATGGCCACCATGTTCGTTGTTTAGTCTTCACCCGATTCTTTTTTATATCTTTACATTTATTTCTGTTATATCCGTGGCGGATCAACATATCGGTGATTTAACGACCACCATTTTCGTTAAGAAAAGAAAGAGATAGCGAAAATCAAGGAGGAATCAGCGGCTTCCCGGGATTCCGAATCTTATGAGAATCTCAGAAATCTTGTGAATCCATGGAATCCAACGAGAATCCCGGGAATCCCATGGGAATCCTGAAATGAGTGTGGGTGTGGGTGTGGGTGTGGACTGTGGGTGTGGGCGTGGGTGTGGGCGTGGGTGTGGGCGTGGGTGTGGGCGTGGGTGTGGGCGTGGGTGTGGGCGTGGGTGTGGACTGTGGGTGTGGGCGTGGGTGTGGAGTGTGGGTGTGGGTGTGGGTGTGGACTGTGGTGTGGGTATGGAGAAAGAGAAGTGAACACCCACATCCACATCCACACTCACCCATAATAAATATAATAAGAAGATTAAGAAATTTAACGCAATAGGATCGACATTTTAATTGGTATAGGGGAAATAGAACTCACAAGTATGTAATACTAATTCTTCTGAGCTCTATTCTGGCAAATTTTTTCCATAGTCCACTCGTCGGAATTGGAAAATTGTTGTATTAGATCTTTTTCTTTTGATATTTGAAGCATCGTGAAATTCTTGTCCTTCAAATCCTCTGAAACAATAAATGACATAATTTCCTTTCATAGGTATGACCTATCCGAATTACTATTGTGGCAAGCAGTAGAGACATAATGATGTTCTTGATTCGGTACTCTTCTGATCGAGATTCATTAATTAGTATATATACAAACAACATCTATTCTATGGATCTGCTGACCTTTTTGTGAATCAGGTAACAATGTTGCTCCACTTTAACAAAGGAGTGTTACTCTAAGTCTCATCATAGTTATCTAATCGATAATGTTCCTGTTTGCTGCATACAGTAACTTCCATTTTCTTCCCATTTTCATGTAAGGTGTTCTTCTGTCTAACGCGAGAGGTTCTGTTTGAGGTCAGCTGTCATGGTTATTCTAAATTTGATTTTCTATTTCTGTATCTTTCTTCCTTATAAAAACTTACATTAGCATACAACAAAAACTATCTCGTGAAACCCTAACTAAAATATTGTCTTCGCTTTAATTACAGCTTTGGGCATCCTTACTAAAATTTCATTCAAGGATATAACATATTCATTTCCACAAGCATTTTTCATAAAAAATAGGAAGGTACACCCTTGGACAAAATTCTTTCCCCCTCTGTGTTTTCATACTATCATACTTTGCATGAAATTTATTGCCAAGTAAAGATAAAACATGAGAGTTTTATTGCAGTGTGATCTGTACACTATACTGCAATAAAACTCTCATGATATATCTTTACTTGGCAATAAATTTCATGCAAAGTATGATAGTATAAAAACACAGAGGGGGAAAGACTTTTGTCCGGAGGTGTATAGAACTAAAACAAAAATCTTGATTTCAAATCAATCGATATAGGTAATAAAAAGGAAAAGTGATCGAAGTAGTTTGGATTAGTATTCCACACAACTTATGAAAACACACTAGATGTTCAATAGTTCAAATCTGAACTGCGCTTCCTGGTGAACTTCCTGAAAGGTTGTGAGCATTGAGAGACTCCGATTCCACTCTCACACATGCAAATAAGTGGTACTACTGCTATTCTTAGCACCTTTCAATATAATAGATTTCTTTAAAACTTAAAAATTTTGAATTCATCCATCATTCTGTGCAAAATGATCACAGAGTAACTTGGTAATGTTAGTCGTTTCGTATTATTAGGGTTGAGTTTAAGCTTACTCTTCAATCTCATCACGAGTAAGTCCAACTATGATAGTTCCTCTTCATAAATGCTCGCTTTTATCGAAAACCATTTATATTTCTAGATCCTATAATTAAAGCTTGAGTATGACTACGACATTGAAATTAAAATTGCATCGGAAATTCTGCGAAGCCCATATTCTACTGGACCTATTTCTTAACAGGAACATACGCAGCAGTTCAGAACAATTCTAAATGTTGTACGGAGGATGTGGGTGTGGGTAGGGATAAAGAGAAGTGAACATCCAAATCCACACCCACACCCACCCACACCCCCACCCACCCACACCCACACCCACACCCACACCCACCCACACCCACACCCACATCCACACCCACACACCCACACCCATCTTAACCTTTGAACTATATGTATGAGCCCTCAGTCCCTTCGTTAGCAAAGGTGCTGAGGTGCTGAAAAAGTGCTGAACAGGTGCTGAGGTGCTGAAAAGATGCCGAGGTGCTGAGTAGGTGCTGCGGTGCTAGGGTGCTGGGTGCCAGCACTTTCCCCCTTGTCAAAAACGTCTTGTGGATGGTAGTTAAATATAATTAACTATTGTTTGACAAGCTGTTTTGGGTGTCAGAGAAGAAAAGTCCACACCCACACCCACACCCTAGATGAGGTCTGTGTTGCACTTGCAAAATATAAAGAATCGAAATCAAGGTGTCTTGTGGTATGAATTAGCAAAAGTCTTAGGTTTTATCGTAACTTTCAAATCTACTACTTTAAAAAATATTAAGACCAATGTTTCAACATTGATTTCCATTAATTTTACGCACCTCTATGAACTATCTTAAACAACATAGTTTCTAAGGTCTTTAACTGTGTAGTTCTATTTGACTATTTTTAAAGACTTTACACAATACTCATAAATTCAAAGACGAAGATTTTGGTTCTGAATCTCATGGATTGTATTGTTTCAATCAAAAATAATTTTTGCTCAAATTGTTAACAATTTAGTTAAAATACTTGATTTTAGACTAGTGTTCGATATTTATCATTTAGTTATAAAATATATTGCATTTCACAAAAATAAAGATAAAATATCTTTTTGTTTTTGTATAGAAGTCATGTTAGATATATCCATGACTATTCATCATTATCCACGAGCACATAAATACAGAATGATAGAGAAAAATATACTCATATTGAGTCATCAATGCATTTTTGAAAACAAAGTAAATGCGTTAGTTTTCTTGCTATTCTTTTACTAATAACATCAACCCTTTACCCCCCATAGCGGTTCCAGAAGAGCCGCTGATGAAATAACTTTATAAATAGAGTATTAGTCTGTTGAATATGCCAATGGTGTGGGCTAATGCGCCGAACATCCTGTTCCTGGAGTAGGGCGGTTTGATTGATGTAAAAGTCATGTGGTGGAAAATGGGAATTGAACGACATCATAAGACTTAATTTTTTTTCTTTGACCACATTATTGACTGGACAGAAGCAGCATCTATCTCGTACTGTTGAACTGATAGGAAAAATGCAACGAGCGAACCCATAAAAATTAACATCAAAGAATGCAGGTTTTTTTTTACACCTATTGCCAAATTTAAGCCTATTTTACTCTGAGCCATTTTGTAACGTCTGAAGGAATTTAATTCATCATAAATACTATTTCGGCTTCTTATGAGTTGAGATCTATAACGCATATATTAACTTTGTTCTTGATTAGCCTTCATCTGTCTAACAGTGACAGCATGGTCAATTGTGTTCCTTAGGATGCATAGTTCACGAAGTTAGCATGAAGCTTTCGAAACACATCTAATTCAGCAGTGGACTTCTTCATCGATTACTATCACACAGAAATTCCAAAAGACCTCTATGGATTGCGAGTAGAGAACATCTCGTTTAAAAAATTTCGAATTTTTGCATTTTTTTCAAAATTATCGATTTTGTAAGTCATATATCTCGAAGGCAGAGCAATGAAACAAAATATTTTTTTTACTAATCGATAGCTTGTGGAGTTCCCTACAAATAATGTCTTGAGAGTTTTTCAGTCTCATGCTTTCTTTATTTTCTCTGATCGTGTCTACAAATGGGTCATATGTGATCCATTGGGGGGTAAAGGGTTAACGTGTTTAGACGATGTAATATTGCTTTACCATAGAAGAAAAAGAAAAAAAAACTAACTTATTGCTTCGTTATTATCGTCGGATAGTATAATATGGCATATCTCGAGAACTCTAATTGCGTTTAATATGGTTCTACTCGTATTTATACAAATTATTCTTACACTATTTTCTTGTATTTTGTTCTTTATGTATCGAACATTAGTTCGTCCACAAAAACGTTTCGATGATATATTTCGTAATCAAGGTGTATCATGTGAACCATTTGTACCATTTATTGGTCAATTAATTGAAATACGTCGTGCAGCGGCAAAAGATGCTTCAATGAATTATCGAATGCAACTTGTTCAAAAACATGGTTATGTTTATGTTTTTTGTTTTGGTTCATTATTACGTTTAATGGTAATGGAACCAGATATGCTTGTGGATGTTTTTGCTCGAACACATGCCCAAAAATTATAAAAAACCAGCTGATATTGATATATTTTTTAAATCTTTGATTGGTGTACGTAATATATTAGTTAGTGATGGGTACGAACATGAACGTGCACGAAAAATGCTTAATCCAGCTTTTCATTTTGTTAAGTTACAATCATTGATTCCGATTATGGTTGATCAAACAAGAAAAACTATTAATGAACTTCTTTTATTATCAAATGAACGTCAATTTATAGATTTACAGACAGAAATCAATACATTAACATTAGCTATTATTGCATCGAGTGCATTTGGGAAAGATTTTGAAAGTATGACGAATTCAAAACGAATTATTAATCGAGTGGTTACGGAATTATTAGAAGCAACGGAATATCGAATGGTACGTATGATCGATCAAATACCAATTATATTACGATTACCATTTTGGCGTAAAGATATAATCAATAAAAAGTCAAAAGAAATTTCAGATTTTGTCGATCAAATTATTGCAGATCGTCGACATAATCGATCAACTAGTCTATCTTCTCACGAAGATATTCTAGATATACTTCTTTCAGCTGTCGATACTCAAGGACAAACATTTGATGATCAAGAAATTAAAGATCAAGCATTAACTTTTGTACTTGCCGATCATGAAACAACAGATAATTTAATGACATGGACTATGTATATATTAATGACCAATGAACAAGTATTAAAAGCTTGTCGTGATGAAGTCGATCGAATACTTCCTAATAGTATTGAACCTACTTATGAACATTTAAATGAATTAATTGTATGCGAAGCTGTTCTACAAGAAACACTTCGACTATATTCTCCAGTACCGTTTCTCGCACGAAAATGTGTTCGTGAACATTTGCTAGGTAGTGAAGGCCATCATCAAATACATCTACCTGTTGGAGCAGAAGTAGGAATTAATACTTATATTCTTCATCGACGAGAAGAATTTTGGCCACGACCATTAGAATTTGATTATACTCGTTGGATTCGAGATCCTGTAACAGGTCTTAAACCAAAATTAGCGCATGCATTTTGTTATTTGTCATTTGGTGCTGGATCACGTAATTGTATTGGTCAGCATTTTGCTTTACTTGAAGCTAAAGTTTTGTTAGCTATGTTTTTACAATGATGTAATTTTGAATTGGAACCTAATCAAAAGATTGTACCTCATGTTCGTATTACAATGCGAACTAAATATGGATTACGAGCAAGAATTACTAAACGATTATGAATGCTTTTTGTTTTAATTGATGTGAATATAGATTATAAAAGTACATATCAGATTTGACTGAAAAAGTATTTATCTTTGTATAATCAAATCAAATGAGCTAAGAAGATGATTTTGTATATTTTGTGAACTATTTCTGATAATTCATAAACTTATCTAAAAATGTAGCAAACAAAAAATTTGCAAAATCGGGATGTGGGTGTTCTCTTCATCAACACCCACACCCACACTCTCAAGATAAATTGGTGGCAGCATTGAAATCTTCCATACTGACTTCGAAGCACGACTAGGCAGTCCAAAGTTTTTCCATCTAAGTTTCACTCATAATCTTTCGGGACGAAGGTGTTTCTTGAACAGTTTGACGGATTGCTCCATAGCTCGAAGTGATTAGTCTTTGATGTTTCACAATATTGTCAGTGGTGAAGACTGTTCCTCTAACTCCGTTACATCAGAAAGTGAATCAAAGCTCTCTGTCCTTACTATTATGAATTTTGCTGTAGTTGGAATCTTTTCGCCTTTATTGCGATGTATCGCTCTCTCTCTCTCTCTCTGAGTTACAAGTTTTGACATTTATCCATACAGATTGATTTGCGACTAGAAGCTTTTTCACTATTACTCTTAATCACACCCAAACTTTACCATTGTGGTCTGTCTATTTAATCATAAATCAATTTACATTTCTATTTTTTAAAAACTTTTTATGAATACGCATGTTTAGAAATTTTTCAAAGTGCGATAAAGTTCAAAACAAGGTACAGCACATGAACCAACATTACATTGAACACACTTATATCTTGTTTTAGGATATTTTTTGGAGCTGTTGTTGTATTACAACAGACATGGTACCTTGGCCTCTTTGTTCTTTCAGATGTACCTTCATCTGAATAACCTTAAATGAGTGTAATGGAGTGTCATGCAGTAAGTCTCATTGGATTTTCCAAAGATGGTCTTCCTTGTTTTTTCATTATTTTGACTTCTAATAAATTCAACAATCAATCGAATCACTTCCAGTCGAAAGTCCGACAGATGCATTGTTTTTCCGGTCTTGAACTTGTATTAAATGAATGCATTGAGTAAAGCCACACCAAGCAGATGAAAAAAGAATTTACAAGTATAACATCACCTAACATGTCTTTTTAGACAAAAACGTTTCTCATGAGGATCTTAGATTTCAGAAAATTTTCCCGTAGAAGTCAGTTGTGTTCTATTTATTATGCCTTACTGATTACCAGAGTAAAAGAATTTATGACTTGAATTACGCCCAAAAAAGTGTCTGATAAATGCTTTCACAAAACTGATACTAAATATGAATCTATGTGTTTCGAAATACTAAAAAACCACTGTGATCTGATGTGGGATCACTCGTTCCCAAAGACTTAACAGTATTATTTTTCTTTTGGCATTGTTGAAAAATCGTCAAAGTTGTCTTTAGATCTGTTCTATTCAAAATTTCTAACAAATGTTTTGAATATAATATTACTCAATCAATATATGAATGATTTATTTATCCTCGATGTTATCCTATGTAATCATAGTTATTTAGAAAGATTTGTACAAATGCTTGGAATATTTCAAGGAATTTAAAATCTTATTGATTAGGATCTTGTTTTTAGCAAAAGCTTACATGGAAAGTACTCCAATTGATACTGAACTTTCAATATCAACTTTTGACTATAAGTAGGTCTCATGAGAGAAGGTTTCAAAGTGTGAATTTTATTTTTTAATTAGATTTATGCCACTTTATAGAACTCAATGAGCTGATTATGATGGCATAATGTGTTCTTTCTTATAGACTGTTTATGAAGAATTAGGTCGATCTTAACTTTAGAAAAATGACTGTAAACTATCATTTTGGGAAAGTTTCGTTTTTATGCTAGTTTATTACTCCATATTAAAAATTTTACCATTGGATGTGCTTTGATTAATTGTAAACAGTACAGAAGTCAACTATTTTTTTGAAAACTGCTTATGATTCTCCGAGAATACTTTTTTTAACCATGTAGTAAACGTATCTCGTTTTCAATACCCTGTATTCTATCGATGGTTGAGGGTGTGTAGATGGGGATGGATCTTCTCTCCATCCATTCTGATACTCGCACTCACACTCACACCCTAGCAATTATCTGCTCCTGTATTAGTAATTTCGACAACTGCCTTTCTCGAAAAGAGAACGTTGCAACGCGTCACGTGACGAGTTTGTTTTTTTAGAAAAAATAGGGCTTCCGTAACGCCAAAAATAGGGATATGTGAGAAAACAGGGGTATCGTAACGAAATTTACAGGGCGATCGTAACCGTTATTTACAGGGAGTTCGTAACAGTTGCAGAGTTTTCGCAACGAAACAACATGAATTTCGTAACAAAAAATTAGGAGTATCGTAATGAATTCACATATCAAACCATCGGTTACGATCGTCTTATAAAATTCGTTACGATAGCCCTGATTTTTTTGCTACGAAAGCCCTGATTCTGTCGTTACGAAACCTCTGCTACAGGCTTTCGTACTGTCAATTCGTTACGAAAGCCAGACAAGAAAAACGTGACGAGTTGCAACATTCCCCCAGAAAATCTGAAAACTGCTGCAAATACTGAGTTTTGACGGTTTTCTCACTCGTCCATCTTTCAGTTTCATGCTTTTTCGACTGCTAAAATTTGTCATCAACACACTATCCTCTACTCAATATATCACACAACATTTTTATTTATACAAATAATTGAAAAGTGGAAGTGATAGAGAAGAATATCGATTTTCATGCATTAGTTGAATTCAATGGTGACTCCGATATGTTTGGGCATGATAGTCAATTTTTGAATATATCCACCTGCATTAACTTCAGGACCACCATCACCGAATGTTACTTGTTGCAGCATGCGAGCTAAGATTACTTTGAGTTCCAATCGAGCCAAATCTTGCCCAAGACATTGACGATGACCACTTCCAAATGGTAGAAGTGCATATGGATGATAATTCTTATCTTCATTAAGAAATCTTTCTGGATAGAACAATTCAGGATCGATTTTCCAATGACGAGCATCTCGAGCAAGAGCAGATGTCGGAATAATCACTTGATTACCTTTGTAAAGTTGAGTACCGCTTTTAGGTAGATTGTCGTCAACGATCACTGTACGACTTGTTGCATCAATCGTTGGAGAATAACGAAGTACTTCATTGATAAAGCAATCCAAGTAAATGAATGAGTCGAGATGATCCGATGATAAATATTGACCACAATTATACTGCATCAGCTCTGTTTTGATCTTTTGTTGAACTCGTGGATGTTTACTTAACTGATAAATAGACCAAGCAAGAGTGGTAGACGTCGTTTCATAACCAGCAATCATAAACATGAGCATCTCATCAAAAAGTTCCTTTCGTGATAGACCTGTCAACGGCAAAATGTTAGAAGTAAAAGAACAAAACAGTCAAGATAAACTATAGTCATAGTTTAATTCGAAAACATATTCTGTGGAACTGACTGTTAAATTACGCAAGTATGGTAAAAACTATCCTTATATATAATGTTCAGTGTGTGTGTATGTGCCGGGCCAAAGGTCAAGGGTCAAATAAGGCTATAAGCGGAAGGCCCAAAGGCTAGTATATTAGGATACCCATAGGTCCTCAAGGGCTATAATATGGAGGTACCCATCGATCTTCAAGAGCTATTATATGAGGGCACCCATGGATCCTAAAGGACCGTCCTATAGGGTACTCATAGACCCTGAAGAGTGTGAGACAGTGAAGGGATAAGGCTACAAGAGGTACAAGAAATATAAGGCTATAAGGACATATGGCTACATGGACTATAAAAATATGTGCGATATAAGAGTGCGAGACCGTAAGGCTTCGATCTATATACATAATATCGCGTATCTATATGTCTGTTATCGGATGAACAGTTAAACGTCTGAAGTCATACGTTAAAGAAGAAACCAGTCGTGCAGTATGCACGGGTTCTCGCTAATTAAATATATTGACGAAGACGACATCTTTTTAATGCTTATTATTAGGTGAAATTCAATTTCCTTCGTTGGAAATGACCAAGCATTTTCATATTATCATTGAAAAGGTCTCATCCCATGAAAACTACATAACATCAACAACATAGTCTGAATGATAATCATTTCTATGTTCTCTTCGGTCTCTACGGTTAAGGTGTCTCGAATGAGCTTGCCTGTTTTATATACCAGATAGTGTATAAAGTGTAATTTGATCTAATAACCTGCAAATAAATACACAAAAACTCTTATATCAGACCAACAACAATGTAGCTTCCAACACTCAGTTTACCGACCTTAAAATATAATTCGAAAGCAATAGTACAAACAAGAAATCTGAACTTTTGTATTTCATACATATTCGAATCATCTTATTATCTTAAATTAGCTCTTCGAATATTTGAAAAACACTTTTGGATGAGACAGATGTCATGCATTTTCAACTGATTATCATTCTTTCTCACGATTTTTGCAGTTAAGAGCATGAGATAGAAGCATATACACTTCCACATCCGTCTTAAGTTTTAGTGGTTTTGTCAGCAACTATCTGGTTGATGAATTCAACAGTGACTTGGAAAAACTGTTTTTCTTGACTTCCGGAAGATCCGAGTTCTGTAATCCTGGTCTGTATGCTAACATCTTATGACGAGTCTCATTCTCCCAAGAATCAAACACCCTTTCAACATCCCCGAGATAATGGTTTTCTAGTGGTTCCTATATGGTGTAGTCGCTCAAAAGAGAGGAAATCCTCTTTTCTCGTAAAAATTGGGTGGGACTTTGTCGTTTGTCTTGCATACAAGTCACTCAGACTCAGAGATACCGTTGATATTCCTGAAATGACTCAAGAGTAACACCATGCGAAAGGAAATGACTAATAACCTATAGAAAAGTAGTATCTATTTCGGATAAAAATACTGTGAGTATATTTTTTAAGTGAATTCATACGTAGGAACTGAAAGTTTCATTTCCTGTTCCTATGTAGAAAATTTGAAAATACAAATTGTTAAGTTTTCAATTTTCATATATCTAACTTCCAATCAAACTGATCACTAACTCCTTACCCGATTCCATGAAAATATCTTCACACTTTGAAAAATATCAACTTTACTTTTGAATCGCTGATCTAGCTGACATTTTCAGAATAGACTGCACAGTTGATTAGTAGTCTGATAGCTCAAAAGAACAAATCAATTCATCACTGTTAACGACAAGAGCTATTTCGCGTCGATAGTTACACTACCATTGAGCTGATATAGGGAAATTTTCTTTTTTGCTTATCACATCTGTCTGGTAAATACTTTTCAACAAGACTTGTAAGTCACGTGGGAAGCAAATAGTGAAGAAAAAAAGTTGCTCCTATCAATTCAATGGTGAAGTCACCATCAACGGAAAGTGGCTCTTATCGCTGAAACTGTGTTGAATTAATTTTTCTTTTACACTATCAGACTACTAATCCACCCAGCAGTCTACCCTGAAAATTTCAACCCGATCAGCGACTCAAGAAAAAAGTTTATATTTTGTACGGCAATAGTTTGTATTATATTGTGACCAGGATGGGCACGAGCAATTATTTTGCTGAAACTCCAGGACAATGAAATTTGTTAATTGTCAAAAATCGACCAATCATAAAGCTTTCAAGATATACGTCAGTGGACATGATCTACAAGATATGATAAATCTGCAGTGTGTATCATTTCCTATTTTACGTCAACCATCAAAAGTGTCACATTATGTTTTGGCATATGATCTTAGGAGCAGAAATTCAATACATAAATCTATAATGAATTATTGGAAACAACGATCTAATTAAAGTGTTCTACGGATAAGCATTACCTTTTCTATCTTCTTCATTTTTTCTTGCTTCGGTTTTCTCATCTGTTTGTAATGAACTAACCAATGATGCGATCAATGACGTCTTCTTTCGTAGTGCTGTTGAATCAGAACTCTCGGCCATTTCTTGTTCGACCATTTTATTAAGATATCGTTCGACGGTTGCCCGTGCTCGTAGATATCGAAGATTCAAATTCAAATATATAATTGAAACAATTCTAGGTACATATAGCATCATTCTAAATACGCTCATGATATCTTGTAGAGCTTTAGCTAGTTCATTCTTATTTCCTGAATTATTATGATCAAGTGTCTCCAAGTCGTAATCAAAAGCAATCAATCCAAAGATTTCAAGTAGAAGATTTTGACACTGCTCGATAATATCCATATGCACCTGTCCAGATGGTCTAGTACGCCATCTATCTAATAGTTTGTCAGCACCGTCAATAATTATGTTTATATTTGGAATAATCCTGCTACGACGAAATAGCGGCATTGTGAGCGCACCATGTCGCTTAAATTTGGCACCTATAAATCATAATGAACAAACCTTCGTTACAATTGGAAAAAAGTCATACCTATGCTACAAATGATACTATCAGGAAAGAAAACGCTGAATTTTTCTAAAAATATTTGTCCTTGATCATATATATTTCGATTGGTAAAAATATATCGGACATCATCAATATCATGTATGACAATGAAACGGGTAAAACCAATCCAATATTGATAAACATCACCGAAACGTTTGTTGAATGATATGTAGACTTCAGACAACGGTTTTTTACCAAACAATAAACCTGATTGAATTATATTCCCAAAAAATAAATGTGGCGACAAACCAGGTATTGGACCACGAAGTGTAAAATATTTGAGTTTTACATATAGCGGCAATAAGACGACGAAAAAAATAAATAGAAAAGCAATCATTTTCGAACTGTCTACAGTAAGAAATACGTGATATGAGTATATATGATGGTGAATGCATTACATGCGCACACGTGTTAGCTTTCTTTCTTTCTTCCCCTCACACTCATACAACACGTATAATCGACAATATCATGCACAATTCATAAAGTCACATGTTACATTTCTTGATAAATACAAATAGTAGTGGCGGCGCCACAGATGGACTGAGACCATCCACAATTTTTTAAGCTCATTAAGAAATTTCTTCAAGATTTTACATAGAATCTTTAATCTTTTATACGAGTGATGTCCTAGCATACCACTTCTTGAGCTACCAAAGAGGTTCTTTCTAACTTTCTATTGGTTGATTATTAAAAAACATGTCAAAAGTTTAAAATAAAACTCACTCTTTAGAGTAGAGTCTTTCGAGAACAACTTTTTTTGGTTCCCATTCCCGCGTTCTTGTTCCGATAAGACTTTGAAAATTCTTATTATGATTTCATTATTTATGTTTGAGATAAACCATCATCAGTGAATGTATGTATATTTTAGTAGAATAAATCAATTATTATTTATACGTCGAAATTAATTGAAGTTACGTCAGAACAATTATTTCCTTCATCGACTGAAGGATCGAAAAGAGAAAAAAAATACTAGTATATCAACAACACCGACGATCAAGCGAAGACATTCAAGATGAGAAGATGGTAATAATATTATTTGCAAGATAATCTGAATAATAATCCTTTCGAAAATGATAAATACAAAGAAAATAATAGTTGTGATAATTGAATTATAATTGAATAAATAATGATTGAACTTGTATAGGTTTTTGTTGATAGATATTTTTATTGTCAAGTAATCATGTAACAAGTGAAATATGCAATGCATTATTAATATATCATTCAACACTTTTCGTAAGTTTTTGTATGCAAAAATTCTGAAGTGATTCCATGGTTGTAGAAGCGCTCTTCTACTATCAGTAATATTGATTGCTCTGTCGTGAGAAACATTTCTCTTGTTCACCAATTTCACTCTTCAAAGATTTTGAGCGAATACGTACTTTTCCTAGTTTCAATTGTGTTCATTCCTTAAGAAATCCTAGAAGGATGCGTTAGGATTCTGGATCTCAAGGATCTTTGCAAAGTTTTTGTTCCGGATCCTATGTCAAAAATATTTTTCTGTATTGAGAATGCAGAATTCTAGAAGGATTCATTCTCGATCCTACCAAGAATAATAGAAAAAAGTCGATCCATATTTTCTCAAGTTTTTGTCATGATCTGTTCTAGATCCTGATACAAGGCTCCTATCAAAATTTATTGCTAAATCAGAGAAGAATCTTGACAAGAATAAAAGAAGATTAGTGAGAATGCTAAATAAACGCATTCTATCAAGCTTCTGTCAGAATCCTGTTAGGAGTTTTTCTTTTAACCCACACCCTATTTGACATACACAGGTTATTTAAAAATTATTCTCGTGAATCTAAACGATATCTATAGAATTTCGTAAACGAATGACATTTTATAAGTCACATTTTTTGGATATTCTATTCAATCTACAAATTGAACATTATCAAAACTTGCAGAAGTTTATTTATAATCAATTATAAATTAAAAAATGTTAATAAAATTAAGTAGAAAACTTCATGCAATCTCTTCACTCATGAGTAAATATGTGAGTACTGTTTTTGTCCTACATATCGAATAATTTTTGTTAGTTTATTTCCAAAATCGCTGTAATCAATTGGTTCTTCATATATAAGAATTGTTAAATTTGAAAATAATAATGGTATATCATTTGTTCTATAAGTAACATCGATTGGAATTATATATTCATCACTTAAACTATCCCAATGGAAAACTTCAACTATTAATAAACCATTATATTTCAATGATTGCTCTATTCTTCGTAGATAACTAGTTTCATTCATTATTGGAAAATACATACATACAATTAAATCCCATTGTTCAAAACCAAAGTGAAACTCTTCAATTGTTGTTATATGTGTTTGTAACGTAGTTAGATTTAAATTTTTTGCCTGATTTTTAGCTATTTGTATACCTTCAATAGATGAATCAAATCCCGTTACTTTGTAGCCTTTTCGTGCAAGCCAGATTGAATTTCGTCCTTGTCCCATAGCGATATCTAATACATGAAAATTATCTGATGATGGATTGTATTCTTCTATAAATTTCTTCAGAAATTTATTTTCCTTTTGATTAAAGTTTGATAAAGTACTCGATTCTATGTAAAAAGTATTCCACGATGTCGATGATGAATAATGTTCTTGTTGTAGTACAGTTTTCAATAGCCAAACTGTTTCATTCATATTATCTATTCCAAATTTTTTCAATTTGTGATATATATATAACTGGCCTTTGTCGTGTTCTATCGGTTTATAATGGATATATGTACCAAATGTTGAATGAGTAATGGGAATATTCACTTAGGATATGCTGACTAGAAGAAATTTCAATAATATCTTTTTAATAGGTACTATTCTCAATCTATGTAAGGTCTAATTTAGCAGTTCTTGATTGATAGGGTATTAAATTGTTTGTGCATCGCGTGTTATCTTTTTGTGATCAACTTTTTTTGTTGCACAGACTAGTGCTCGTCAACATTATTCAATCTACCAATTCGGCTCCTTTTTTACGTGAGAAACTATCGTAGTACAAATATGTCAATGGATCCTTTCGAAAATTACCAACCCGTTCGGAACAGTTTGAACGGGGGTACCGAAATTGTACGTTCCAATCTTTTATAACTATACAAGATAATGCTCATCAACAATTTGATTCTTATGCTATTTTCTACAAGAAGGGAATATACCATTGAAAGATGTGAGAAGCATGAGGATTTGAAATTTATTATCACACGACTCCACAAAACTGCTTTACATTCATGTCTAATATTAGTCGAAAATTTCTGTTTTCAAGCATCCTAACTGGCCGTACTCAAAAAACATCTTCTCATATAATGTGCTGATGGTGTTGTCTTTTCATAAACGCCATTTCAGTGTTGCGACACATTTGACACTTCATCCAATGCAATATTTTACGTTCTATGATTGAATTCTCGTCATTCTAAAATTTCTCGAACTTCTCGTGTACAAGCTCTGTAGGATCAAAAGGTTTTGTTGAGAAAATGTTATGTGGTCTGTCATTGGAACGGGAGTAGTTTTCTGATTGCTTGCATAAACGAATAGACAGACAAGTATACTCATGTGATAGACCCTTTCTTTCAGAAATAGGAATAACAACTTATAGATAGATGTCGCATGTTGAGTTACAAGTATAAAAACATGTTTTGAAGCTAAAGATCGAGTTTTGGACGAGCTGACGAAATATAATATCCCGGTTTGCTACACAGTCTTGAATCGTTTAATTGGATAATTTTTTCAAATTCATCCGAATACAAGTTTCTCGTTAATGCTCACTCCAAATACTGTATGGGTACAAATAAACTTTTCCTTTTCTATCTTATGCAACATGTGAAAAAAGGATTGTGCTTCTAGAAGCTGACTTCTATTCCATCACAAGCATCATTATGCACCTAAACTATATACTAATGGACAATCCTTGGTTTTGTTTTTTGATAATCATTAATACATAAATGCTTTGAGTCTCAGACTAAATTATATCAAGTTTACCTCCAGTTATGTCTACAATCCAGACTAGAAATTATTCTTGATCTGATAAAACTGTATAGGAAAGAAAAATAGTTTCGAGCCGGTCGTTTAACGGGATTAATGAAAACAGAGTACGTCCAAATTGAACGATGATAAAATTAAAATACATTGATGTATAAACAATATGTGATTCCCATGCATTTTTAATTGCTGTCGATGGATGCTCTAATATATTATCAATAATTTTATATTTAATGCCAGTATAAAAATGTTCTAATTCTAAAACACATCTTTTTGCGTCTTCATAATTCATCCTATATTCAATTTGTAAATTATTAATAATATATTGAAAATCACGTTCAGGAATTTTTACTTGATTATAATTTATTGATGACACACCAAAAATTAAAAACATGTAGTCGAAAAGAAAACCAGTTGCTACCTGCATGATGCTTTTTCTCTAAGATTCACAGTTTATGTTCTTTAAAAAATATGAAATAAAATTCTTTTACTAGCAATTGATTTGACTTCATTGTACAGAGTAGCCCAAAAGTAAGATAACATATAATTGTTTGATTTCTTTTTTTGGATATAGACAGTTGGATCTCATGTTTTTATATCATATATACTAGGGATCGTATGGGACTGTAAGAGGAATTCGATATTTTTCGAGTTCCATTTAATTTTCAATTTTGTCTGTCTATTGTCACTTGTTAAATGAATACGATTTAATTAAATTTTGTATTGATTTAGGCTAAAAGAGGCCAACATTAATTAGATACTATTAGTTTCACATATGACGATAAGCCGATAAAACTGAAAATTGAATGAAATGCGAAAAATATCGAAATTCTTTTACAGTCCCATACAATCCCTAGTATATATGGTATAAAAACATGAGATTCAACTGTCTATATCCAAAAACCGAAATTAAACAATTGTGTGTTATCTTACTTTTTGGGCTACTCTATATTTAATACATCAGTTTCACTCATACATTCTATAGTTTCTAATCGTTCGAATATATACAGAATATCTTTGTCTGATATCGTGATAGTCTTATAAAATATAGTATTGAAGAAAACAACAGAACCATAAGAAGCCATATTCGTAGGACAAAAATGGGGTTAGGAGAGAATATATTGTATAACAAATATTTTGACTGTCACTGCAAGATTAGAAACAAAAGGAGAATCTACAATCAACAGGCTTCATTTGAGTTCGAACTTGAGAATAGTGAAATAAATATTTTAAATTATATATTTTCAAAGTTGATGGAGATTTCATATATCTAAGAATTAGTTGTTCAGCAAACCTCAGGAATGATGAGAAAGTTTAAGGAACAGAATAATTTTTAATCATTCGTTGACAACATAATATCGGAAGTACACACAAAGTGATTAATATGTGATTATTCTTTTTAATGAAATGGTAATTTTATACCTATGAAAATTAGTTTTATATGAACTAAGCCAAACAAGTTTGAACAGAATAAAAACATCTAAAACATGAAAATCAAGAAAAACAAATTCTTGATTGATTTATTTTCAACTCAGAAAATTTCACATAAATATTATATTTAGGAAGTTTGAAAGTTCGATCAATTGAAGAGTAATAGAATAAATATGAAAGGAAGAAAATTTTTTCTTTTTTTTATACAAAATTAATCATCATAGCATACTCTTTCATCTATTTTAAGCAAACAAATTTATATACAGTCATATATCTTGAAGTAATGCATGTAAATATAATGCAAGCAGGACTATTGATATTTAACTATTAGGCAGTACAAATGATTAACTTATCAAAATAAAATGAGAAAGGAAGAAAAGAAAACTTATGGAATTCCCAAGAGCCAAGAAACTTGAATACTTATGATTCTATTCATATACATTCAATATTGAATTATGACTTTTTTTTATGTACGCAATTCAGTTATGTAAGTCGGAGTCTATATATTCCAGAGAAAAATAATGTTCTTGAAACACAATTCCATTTTTTTCTAGCAGTACAAAACTCAATCACTAGAATCATGCGATATTTAATATTAATATTACTTATTACATCACTGATAATTGCTGATATTGCCGGAGAAAATCGTCATGAAGCATTGAAACGTATGATACATAGTATTCAAGGTGCAAAACAGAATGTTGTAAAACGACAAATTTATCAATGTGTGTATTATCCTCCTCCACAACCTGAACCTGAACCTATTTGGGTCTGAAAGCTATCTTTCACAGACATAGAATCTACATTCAGCATTGAAGAAAAACATGAAATTGACGTTTTCGTTTTCTTTTGATTTTTTTGCTTTGTAAACATCAAATGTATTATTCTATCGAAACAACATCGTTAAAAGTGTAAAATAAACTAAATCCCTGCGTCCTGTTTTATTAACATCTATATCTATTGTATATTAATATAAGTTCTCCATTTCTATGTAAATGCCTCAGAAAAATTTGAACTACATAAAACATTGAAGTCCGGATCAATTTACCTTTTTAAACGTGCATACGAAGGCTCCAATTCTGACCAGATAAAAATCATTTTCATGCTAACTATATTACTTCTCACTCTATCACCAATAGCTTCTTCCACAGTGGATACGCGAGCTTTGTTCGAAAATATTTACTCTTTCATATTCTTTTATATAATATCATTTGTGACGGGACACCAAGTAACTTCGTGTTTCTGTGTACTTGATAATGTCACACATGCTAGTTTCTACAACATTGCCAAAAAGGACATCGATTCGTCAAGTCAAATTTCCCCTAAGTGAAAAATCCATTAACGATTTTGAGCTGAAATTGTTCCCAGAATGGGTATTTATTTCTGTTATCATAAAAAGACACTTGTACTGTTTCTCTTTGGTGTGAACTGTGGAGTGAGTGTGAGGGATGTGGATGGGATATGAAACATGCCACTGGCGGTAGATAGCTAGTTGTATGCAGACCTAGGCAGTTATCGTTATCAGTAAGTTACCATTTACCAAGAAATCTAATGCTCACTTCCTACTCTTAGATGTGTGCGTTGGTGGGGCGGCAGTATAGGTATTCTCGATCCTTGACATCCGCCCATTCATCTACGCACGCCATCAAATCACTTCATGGATACTAGTTCAGAGAAACAACGTATCAAATCTTTCGATCATGCTAGGTGTGCGTGGCTCAATCGATAGATGCGTATAGAGAACACCAAACTATCCAATTCAGTCAGCCATATCCTCACTCACGTCATCAATTATATCTTTTAACCCCAACTACAATCTCACCTATTCATACATCTTCCAACCCAATCGTACATTCACAACTGGACACCAACCTGCCTACGCTGATACCTGTATTCAATTACTAACAGAAAAATAAGATAGTTTTCTTGTGGTTCGCATCCACCTAGAAATGAAGAATCTATATTAATACACAATAGATATAGATGTTAACAAAAGATGAGGCAATATTTTAGTTTATTCGGCACTTTCAAAGTTGGTTTTTTAATAAAACAATATATTTGATATTGAAAAAGAAAAAAGATCAAAAGAAAGCGAAAATATCAATTTCATGTATAATGATATTTTTCTTCAATGCTAAATGTAGATTCTATGTCTGTGAAAGATAGCTTTCAGACCCAAATAGGTTCAGGTTCAGGTTGTGGAGGAGGATAATACACACATTGATAAATTTGTCGTTTTACAACATTCTGTTTCGCATCTTCAGCACTATGTATCATACGTTTCAATGCTTCATGACGATTTTCTCCAGCAATATCAGCAATTATCAAGATTCTAGTGATTGAGTTTTGTACTGCTAGAAGAAAAAAAATGGAGTTGTGTTTCAAGAACATTATTTTTCTCTGGAATATATAGACTCCAATTTATATAATTGAATTGCGCACATTAAAAAAGATCATAATTCAATAATGGATGTATATGAATAGAGCTACAAAATATCCAAGTTTCTTAGCTCTTGCAAATTTGTTAATTTTTCTTCTCTACCATTCTAATTTTATTTTGATAAGCTCATCATTTGTCATTTACTTTCCAATACCTAAATATTAATAGCCCTACTTCTATTGTATTTACATGCATTACTTCAAGATATATGACTGTATATAAAATTATTTGCTTAAAATGGATGAAGGAGTATGCTATGACGATTAATTTTGTATGAAAAAAAAAATTTCTTCCTTTCATATTTATTCTATTACTCTTCAATTGATCGAACTTTCAAACTTCCTAAATATAATATGTATGTGAAGTTTTCTGAGTTGAAAATAAATCAATCGAGAATGTTTTTTTCTTGATTTTCATGTTTTAGATGTCTTTATTCTGTTCAAACTTGCTTGGCTTAGTTCATATGAAACTAATTTTCATAGGTATAAAATCACTATTTCATTAAAAAGAATAACCACATACATGCTGATGATGATATGTTATCAATGAATGTTTAAAAAGTTTTGTGTTCCTTGAATCTTTTCATCATTCTCTCGGACATCTGAAATCTGTGTAAACTTTGAATATATATAGTTGAAAATAGAAAAAGAAAGAGGGTCGCATTTTGAAAGGCATACTTCCTCAAACTAGAACCTCCTTTCATTTGGTTCATTATCAAAAATAGAGCCTGGAGGTTTCAAAAACATGAAACCAAAAAGTGAATCGGACCGTACGAGTACCGCTTAATCTAGAATTGGAGAAATCAATTTACGATTGCATCGGTGGTAAACTATACGTATTTTTGACGATTATTAGGGAAGTGAAGTCAAAACTATCTAGAAGTATGACTGAGGCCACTGACAAAATCTAGCGTCGTGGAAAGCTATGGTCAGGTACTCCGATGTGTACTTTCATAATCATTGTGGTTTGGAGCCATATCCCTGTTAAACGCGAAGTTTTTGCCATACGAAACGATTTTCCGTCTAAAAGAAATCATTTTTGTCCGGAAAAAAACAGTTACGAAAGTTACTAAACCGCAGTATCTTCTATTGAATGAATTTTTTCAATTGAGTTGACTGAATGTCATTGGAGATATAATAGGCACCAAAAATGAGTATTATAAATATACTAGTATTGGTCTAGCTCCCACTAAGAATGAGTTATAAAGCAGAAATTTCTTTTTCTCTGTAAATAGGCACCCCCCAAATGTTTGCACAAAGTTTCAACTCAATATGATATTTTATCCACGAAAACATTCTATAGCTGAATAATGAACATGATTCTCTCATTCTTTTCCTTTGTTGTTTTATCTGTCGAAGAAATTACTTCTTCAAAAATAATAGCCATTAACAATTTCGATAAAAATTATTTCATATATTCTCTCCTCGTCTCATTTTCATTTTAGGAATATGGTTCCTGATGATTCTATTGCCTTCGTCAATACTATGTTATACGACTATCACGATACCAGACAAAGATGTTCTATATTTATACGAACGATTACAAAATGCAGAGCATATGAGTGACACTGATGCATTAAATACAATTATTGAATTAGAAAACTACTATACTGGTGTGAAAAATGATCTAATTGGTGAACCATCAGAAATGGTTGATAAAGCATGGCATGCACATATATTAAATACACCAATGTATTTTAATTTTTGTGAATCAAACTTTGGTTATTATTTACATCATATACCGTATTGGACAGGTGGTAGTGAAGATCAACAAACACAAGCAATAGTATCATCTTTAGAATTTCAAATACCAATGTATACGAAACTAAAGAATTTAGGACTTCAACATTTAAATGAAACTGTTTGGACATATAAATCCATCGAATTGAACTATAATATTAAGAAAAAGGATGACCTATGAGACTTATAATAAATGATCATATGTTATGAGTGTTTTCATCAAATACATCATTAAAAACAGCTCTAAACTTTTATGATTAACTCGAAAGATAAAGTAGTGTGTTATCATTTGAGCTATAATGACTAATAGAATTAAGTTTCAACTCAACAACCGCCGAAGTTTGTACCATTCGACAACGAAAGTGATAAGATGTGGCAAGCTAAAATGATCGAAAACTCACTTTCAGCTGTCGCAACAGGATTTCGGATCTGTATTTGTGATGTTCACCACCAAAGACATTTTCGTGAAGTTATGACAGTCAAATATCAACTTTCTTCTCGATGTACCTGATTTGAGCATCAAATTTGATAATCAGAAATAAAAGTGACATTTATTGAACTCGGATGATGAAAAACCTTCCCTTATGAACATCGAAAAGATCTAGCACTCAGTTTGCCAATTATAAAGAAGAAAGACATGATCTACTCAGCTGTAATCATGAAATAACCTAGTTCACCACGATGGGTTTGATCCCGTAGCCCTTTCTGGAGCGAGAGAGACAAGGTCCAGTGCTGTCTGATGATAAAATATCAAGTTTTTTTTTTGTTTCACTCGATGTGACTCTCAATCGGCAATGAGACAAGAATGCGGATAGAGTCCTGACGATAAAAAATTGAGGTATGGATGGAAGTCGGTGAAGAAAAGGTTCACATTCACACCCATACCGTCATTAATTTGATTTATTTTTTTCATACAAAAGAAAAATAATCAATTAGCATTGTGTTGAAGATATTTTTGAAAAATGATTAAAGTCGTCTTTAGACTTGTTCTATTCAAAATTTCAAACGAATGTTTTGATTTATAATATATTACTCAATCAATATATAAATGATTTATTCATTCTTGATGTTATCATATAGTTAACAGATATTTGAAAAAACTCAATGATTTTAAATTCTTATTGATTATGAGCTTGTTTTTAGCAAGAGCTTACAAGGGAGGGAGTGTGGGTTGATGCCAGTTCATAGAACTCAATGAACTGATCACGATGGCATAAAATATTCTTTCTCATAGACTATCTTTGAAGAATTAGGTCGATCTCAACTACAGAAAAAATGAATATAAGTTGTTATTTTAGAAATTTTAATTTTTATATTAATTTAGTTCTCACCATTAAAAACTTTAACAATGGTTGTATCTTTATATTGACTGTACACAGTAGAGAATTCAATTATTTTTTTTTTCAAAACTGCTCACGATTCTCTGAAAATACATTTTTTTTTAAACATACAGGAAACATATCTCGTTTTCAATAGTCAACATGTATCATATCTGATTTAAGTATTGTACATACATTAAAAAAAAATGCTAAAGATTAAGTTGTTCATTATGACAGTATTGAAATTTTTGTAATATTACCTGTATTTGGAGGTTTTGTTAATCTCACTGAGATGTACTTATAGTTAAACTAAAAAATCAAGGGTTGAAATATTTTTCTTATTATATAAAATTATTTCATTCTTAATATTTCTTCCTATTGGATAAAATTCTTATTATTTTGATAGGATGTTCTTTTTATTCATTGGTTTAAATATAATGGACAATATTTATATTCAATTGCATATTTGATCAGCATTTTTTTCTTCTCTCTCCTCCTCTTCCACTTAGTTCACATACTTTATTTACTGTTCATAAAGCACATAGTCAATTACGCGTCCACATAGTTTTATTGACAAAACGCTCGATAATCTTCTTCTGTTCACTTTTTTATATATGCCGATCATTTTTCTGTAAAAAGACGATGTGTAAGTAGACATTCATCATGTTTTATTCTTTTTATCTGATATTCTTTGATACATAGATCTATAGTTGTTGTTTTTTTTCTTTTTTTTATTATGAAAAAGAGATTTTAATTTCTATAGAGAAAAATTATGATTTAAGTAAATATAAAAATGACGAAGAATCTCATTTATTGTAATAATAGAAAGTTTCTAGATAAAAAATATTTGCCTATTTTTCGCATATTTAAAAAAAGATAAAATCGAAAAAATTTTATAACACGTTTAGTTAAAAAGTCACAGAAAATTTAATAGCAAAATTCTAATTCTAATATACTATTTCTCATCATATAAAATATTTTTCGAAACACGATTTAAGATAAGAGATCAAATTCTTCATCTCTTCATAATTCACTACTGTTATAAATTAACAACGATATTACTGGAGATGATGATGATGATCATTATTTAATATAAAGAATGAGTTGACACTAGTGCTGAATTTCACACGAAAACAAATATGTCTTATCACACAATAACACAAGTGTTGTGTATCGCTTTATGGAAAAGCATTTATAAAAACATGTATGTTAGGTTAGATGTGCATATATATATATATGTAGATAATTGTTATTACATTCCGCTTTTAAAAACAAAAAAGTGACATAATTGTTGTTGAAAGATCGTATTAAAACACCGAACATTCTATTTAAACGAACGGATCATCTTCACTTGACTTTCTTCTTTTCTTTTTTTTTTTTTGTATTAAAATAAAGAAGTGTTTGCGATTGTCAGCTTGCTCAAAGATGAACTTTAGTTATATACATGCGAGAGATTTAACATGATGATGTAATTTCATAGAACTAAAAATACAAGCCGAAAAATGATGCGATATCTTCAAAGTAAATTAAAAAAATGATCAGCAGGTGTTATTTTGTATAATAGAAAATTTATCACCTTATGAGAACATAATCGAATGATGACAATAAGATTTAAAACTATTTCAATTAGATCAATTTAAAAATTATTGTCCTGCTGATTTTCGAAGTGATCTATATATGTATATGTATTTAGATAAAATTAATACATTAATGTCTACTTCATCATCATCAACAAATCGTCGTCATATATCTGTATGTTCTGTATGTGGTGATAAAGCAAGTGGAAAACATTATGGAGTAATGAGTTGTGATGGTTGTCGAGGATTTTTTAAACGAAGTGTTCGGTAAATCTTTTTTTTATTTTGTCTATTTTATTCATAGAATTTTTCTATTTAAAGACGTAAAATAGAATATAAATGTAAAGGTGATTCGACTTGTCAAGTTGATGTTAATCGACGAAATCAATGTCAAGCATGTCGATTTCAACGTTGTTTAGCAATGAAAATGAAACCTAGTGGTGAGAATTATTAACATCTGTATAAAAACATGATAGAATTATTTACTCATCATCATACTTAAGCAAAAAAAAAGAAGAAGCTTTTGAAGTGTAATGAAAAACGTGCTTATATTTTTTAGCTGTACAAAACGAACGAGCACCACGTCATGGAGCTAAACGAGCAGCATTGCCTCTTCTTCCTCCTCCTCCTCCTCCTCCTTCTATTCCACTTCCTCGAATACAATGTTGGACACCACCAACAGCTGTTGGGTATGTAAATGAGTCACCACAAGTGACAATGTCATTTGGCTTTCGAAATTTAGCGATTAATAAGTAAGTCAAATTTTTTTTTTTAAAGAAAGGTAAGTGTAGTGCTTTGACCTATTTTTTTTTCTATGCTATATACGTATTTGAATGTTTTCTTATAACGAATGTGATAGAGGAAATTATCAAGATTTTTGATAGGTTGTTCTCTCAAATTAGGCACGATTAAAAAGCTTCGTAGACTTTATTTATATGTTTTTTTACTTGTACCGGTAAAGATGCTGGATACCACAAAAATATAATTTGATCAGTATTTTATATGCACTATTCAAATTAAATATAAAAAAATTTTTTTTTTTTTCCGAGAAAATTGCCAACGAAAAGTACAATTCTGTTGGCGGAGGATGGTTTTTTTTTATTTTAAGCAGAAACAAAAGAACAAATGCTCATTTTGAAAGAAACATATCAATAAAATCGACGCAAAATTCTCTATCATTTAACATCAAAATGAAATTTCCTCTAGTGATTTAATTAATTACTCTTATAATTGATTTATAAACTGATTATTCCCTAACGATAGTATTGAGCATGATGGTACTATAGAAAAAGAAATATATTTACTAAAGCTCGTCGGACTCTAATACTTATGAACTTAATAGACATTAAAAAATGTTACTCTTCTGTATGAATTCGTTGTCAAATATATAAATTAAAAGATTTTGTATTTAGTACTTCATCTCCACTATGGTCTCGAATGATTTTTCCACAACAAAAATTTAATTCATCATTAGATTCAACACAACAAACTATATCGGATTTTTCTAATACTACTGATGAAACACGTTTATCCCTTGGTATGATTTAACAAAGAAATTTTTTTTTTTTGGTTTTAATTTTTCTTTTTTTTTAGATGTTACCAATGATGAAATAATATGTGAAACAGCTTCATTTCTTTTACTTGAATCAATTCGATGGTTATATTTAGTACCTTCATTTAAAGATTTAAATGAATATGATCAATATTTATTAATAGAACAATCATGGTCAATTATATTTTTATTAACATCAGCTGAAATGAAAAAATTTATTGATCAAAGTAAATTTTTTTAAATTTAAAAAATTTTTTTTCGAAGTAATTTTATTTTCAAGATGAAAATGAATCATTTGATGAAGAAAATCAATATTCATTATTTCAATCAATTGTTAAAGATTTAATTTTACATTCAATTGATCAAACAGAATATACATTACTTAAATTAATTATTATATTTAGTATTCGTAAGTTAATTATTTTATTTTTTTTGTAAATATTTTTAATATTTTAGCAACAAATTATGAATTAAATGAACGATTTATAATTGATAAATATCGAAAAGATGCTTTATTTATGTTAAATGAATATACAAAAAATTCAAAATATCGTCGTTTAGCTGAACTTTTAATGTTATTATCACATATTCAAGAAACAATGTCAACAATTTATTTAGATAAAATATTCTTTCGACATTTAATTAATCGAATATCTATGCAAAATTTATTACGTAATATTATTCGACATATTCGAACATTTTCTCGATAAGAACAAAAAAAGAAATTGTATAGATAAAACTTTGTATGCATAAAAATATTTTTTTTAATGAAATCAATAATGCATCATTTATTTTTTTTTTCTTGTTTGTCGAATACTCTTGTATTGTACACGTAAATAAAATACCTCAAATTAAAACTAAAGGATCAATAAAAAAAAAAAAGAAATTACCTTTTATACGATAAATAAATATAATTCTGCGGAAGCTCGAGTTAGAAACAATCAGTGATGCTTTATTCTAGAAATGATATATATTAGAAAAACGATCTGAAAATTCACAATAGAACGTTCTTGACTATTCAATCATTTCGTTTTATTCATTTTTTGTTCAGTGAGCATAAAATTTCGGAGAATCTGAATGTTCAAATTTTGAGTTGTAGTTTGAAAATCCTTCAATGCTGATGAGGACTTATTTTGATTGATATATTTCGAATGAGTATTGTCTACTTCTAAAAGAAGTCAGCAGTCGAAACTTCGGTAAGTGTCGAACAGGCGTATCCGATTGAATATAGTTTTCAACTGCTCGGAACTCAATCACTGTTGAAGAGCTCCAAATTAGAACAGAACAAACGAAAAAATATATATTTCAAATTTTTGGTCGTTCGTCACGTCTATCGTATGCTTTGTCAAAATCTGCTTGAGGAGTCTAAACAATTCCAACATCGCATATTTTGTTCACATTTCTTCATCAGAAAGTCATAAACATTCGAATTTTTTCTTAATAGCTGCACCATTGAATTCTATCGACAAAAAAAAAAACAAATGGGACTGAAAAATCCTACTGAGCTTTTCACATGATGCTCTATAAATCTTAATAAAGTAAATATTTGCCTAATAGTGCAACATTTCAATATACAGGGGATGTTATGTTTTAAAGATGTAAGTCAATGCATCAATCAGCGGCGGCGGCGGATCAGTCGATTGGCTTACATCTCTACGATAAATCATATCATCGTATAAGTCTTCAGAATTCAAGAGTATTCTGTCAGCATATCTCCTTTGGGGCTACAATGTAGAACTCACATGTATTCTTTAGCCTCAGTATACTAATACAAAATATGTAAGATGAAAAATCTCTCGTAGTTTACAGTTGTTTTCTACGATAATCGATTGCCACAGTAAGGATCTCTCTGCATTTCGAAAAGAAATTTTTTACTAACACACTCTATTTTTGTTTGCTTTATTGCTATTTGCTCGTTGTTTTTTATTTTTATATTCCGTTTTTCTTAACTTAACATTGATTTAACTAGCAAATAAAACTGTTGTACATATCCATTATATCTTCCACAATATTGAGGTATGACCACTGGAAAAATACATTTTGTAAGGTAAATATTTTTTAGCACTACTCAATCGAGATCGTGACTTTCATATTTTTTAAAGTAGTCTACGTTGGATAGCATCACAAGTTGTCTTCATCTCATATACATGAAAAATGATTAAAATCGAAGATCATCAAATAAGCATCATTAATCGTGGATTAGATGAAGGGAGAAAAAGCGAGACCTCATTTATTTCAAATAAAATTTGAACAGTCAAGTATAAGTGAACCAATTACTCCTGAAGCTTGGTCACAATCAGACATATGTCAAGAGGCAACGTCCGATCGGACTCGTACATTAATACCACACACATTTTCCGATCGAGAGTTTCAGAACAAATCTTACATCGACTCCCACACTTGCCCACACCCAGAAATTCACACTCAACACAAACACAATAGACCGATAACCATTCTCACACGACAGAAGGGGTGTTCACACCCTTTTTTCAGCCCCATATGGTCCTGTTTATGAGAAAAATACTCCTCGATCGTTAATGATTGCACAAGGAGGCTGTCTCGTGAGATCCTATTGGTTTGTATCCTAATCGAATCGAACTAAAACAAATTTCGATATATGTATTTCAAGATCAGCGAGCGAAGAATAAAACTGCAGTGATCTCGTTCGAGTTTGCGTTCAAGTTGATTGTTGTTTGTCAGCTGATTTTCGCTAAACATAGAGCACTTCTATCTTATCGTCACTTTGAAGTATTCCAATGAACAGCGAGAATAGTGGCGGAGCTAGGATTTGGGGCTGGGGGGGGAGAGGAGCTCAGCTCCTACAGACTTTCTATCTCCTCCCAGGGTTGTCTATTATTTTCAAGTGCTAAAATTCTGGCAGATAGTGCTGTCATTTTCGATTTTCGTGGTGTGAAAATTTGTGACGGGGAGAGCGTAAACGCCATCGATATTGATTGTCACTGAATCCCTTCAACAACTGTCAACCTCTCAACAGGTCATGCGCTTCTCTCTACCATTCTTCCGACTACCCACAATCCTGTGGCTCGAGCAGCTGTAAAAATTTGACAAAAAACAATAAATCTAATTTTAATAGTTTTTTTCTAATTAAAAAGCGATTAAAACGGCACGATTTTGATCGATTGTATCGAAAGATTTTAATCGATTATTTGACTGTTAATCGATTTCAATCTGAATTATCAGCGTGTCGACTTATACGTCTAAATATGAATTAGTAGAGTAGGTCGAACTGCACCATAGATGGGACTAGTGCTATGTGTAGCACTTGTTAGTGTGAGAAATCAGAAAAAGTAATAAAAAAAATCGGAGTTTCTACGTTAAAACTGGAGAAAAGCCCGTTTTATAATCGTAGTGATTAAAATTAACAAACGGAGCTAAAATCGTACTCTTATAGTCGATTTTCAGTTAAAAAACAATCGACTACAGTCAAATTTTTTGATCATTTTTTTTCTACATGAGAAGGTGCCCGCCCCACTCGGTAACCCTACTCCCACCTCCGCCACTAAGCGAGAAACGCATTCTCATCAGAATGAAGCATCGTCCAGATTAAAAATTGCTGTTGCTGACGACCAAAGATCTCTAAAATTTCTCTTTTTTTCCTCACAAGCAAATGGGAAATTTTCGAGCGACAATTTTCATCAGGAAAGTTGCGACTACTATCGCTGTGTCTTTGATACTTTGTCATTCAAATGTATGTTTTCGAAGTGAGCTATAACAAGTTTTTGATTCTATAAAAGAACAAATATGTAAGAACAGTGTTGCCAACATTGATTGGACGCTGAACAAGAGCAAAATTGTTCCAGACTAATCTCGATCGTGTTTGTGTTTTTTTTTTTTCATAATTTTAAGAAGGAACTCCGCAGTCAGTCTGCTATCGGATATCATTTAACGTGAAACACATTTCATACAATGGACAAAATATGCGTTATCCATACAATCCATCATCGGTTTTTTTTGCTTTTCTGGACATTGAACAACATGCTGCACTTGTGTCACTTAACTTTTTCTTTTGATATGTTTTTCGTCGACAATGATTTTCGATGTAACGATTGATCTAGTAGATAATGATTGTAGAATCGATACGAACAATTATTAAATACGCTTTTTCTTGACAAATGAATTGAATAATACGGCAATCGATTGAAAATTTTCAATGTCAAATGTTTTTTGACAATAACTTTTTCCGAAGTTGATTCTCACTGTTTTCATACTACTGCATTCAACTCGAAGAGATTTTATCAAATCAAGATCAAGATCAACGAAACAAGTATTACGTTCAAGCGATAAGATTGTGTAATTTTTCTTAACTGAAATATAAATCGACATTATCGACAATAAAACAAATTTTAACCATCAATTTTTTCAACTGATATCGACATAACTACTCTCAATCTCTTCTTTTATCTGATTCATTAAAATAAAACTTAGCAACTACTTAAGTAATCTCATAAATTCTGATCAACATAAAACTTTTGTACTCAGTTATTGTTGGAATCTGCAATATAAAGATTGTTTTCAAGATCGAACGACAAATCTATCGGATAACTAAATTGATTCACGCTTCATTTCCGTAGCCATTTCCACCAACGACCATACTATCTTGTGTGGTTTCTTTCGCTCAACACATTATTCAATGATTTCCACAATCAACAATATAGACAGATCCCAAATAACCGATGAAAACTCCTTCAGAAGATAACAATTGTGTCGAAGCATCTCCTTCAACTTGAGCACTAGCCACTATAATTCCTTCTCTTGCGTTATTACACGATGATTTTGCCAGTTTGACACGTACACTGAATGATCATGACCGATGAAGATGTAATGAGGAGTATCGAGCTGAGTCAGACAATGATCTGATCCATTGCCACCTGCTACAAGTGTTCCTTGAGTTTCCTCCAGTCAGAGAGGTAAAGAAATCTATGATCGTCCAACGCCAAGTCGTAATAAAAAAACATTCAAGATGATCATTTTTCTCCGCTTGCGCACCACTCGCTGATTCTGCCCAGAGATTCAATAGAACTAAGTTTTACTAGTTCGAGTTCGGTTCATTTTTGGCCTCTGGTGACTATTTTATAATGTTATTTTAAACTAAAATTTTAAGACATATTAGTATTTGCAAGTATAAAATATTTTGTCAGAGTAAATACTCAATAAACAAAAGAAATGATCAGGAGAAAAAGTTAAAATAAATATTCTATTTTAAAAAGGAGATGTAACATAAATAAATGAGCGTTTTTCTAGTTTGCAATGGATGTCGAATTATTGCTTGTCAGATTTGATAAAAAAAAATGGGTGAACTGCTCGGACCGTCAGTTTTGTAAAACTGCGGTAAACTGTTGGCTTTGATGAAAAATTAACGACATGATCACGTGACTAAATCAATAGATAGTCGCATTTGATTTTCGTGACTTTTCTATCATTTCTTTGCCCTCAAAAGTTATTTGGAAGCCATGTAAACAAACATATCAATGAACTCCAAGGTGTATGTCATTCAATATTAACTGTACAACATTTAAGACGATCGAATTTGAAGGGAGTGGGTGTGGGTAGCTGTGATTGTGGATATCTGTGGCCATAGATGTAGGCGTGGGTGAGTGCAGGAGAAGGAAAGATGTATATCCACACCCAAACCCACACCCAATTCGTGTTACCAATATATTAGTATGCCAACATCTTCGAATATATATGAGACGAAAAACTTTTTCGTTGTCTAATCAATAGACTTCTTTCTTTCTTTCACTTCCGCTGAAGTGTCTTTTTTTCTTTTTTATTGATGGTTTTTTTGAGTCGCTTTTTTTTCATGTGTTCTTTTTTTGATTTACTTCTAAATAGAAACATGCAACATTCGTTTTGTTATTTAGTTGATGACACTTGAATTCAAAAGCTACATCAAAGATAATTATCGTTCTTTTGGTAGCAAAAAAAAGTAATTCGGTTTTCATTTTAATTACTTTTTTCTTCATATTAGAACGCTTAACAATCTACATTATATCTGGTTTCAGAATATACTAAAATCTCATCGAAAAAAGTCACTATACATCACTAGATAAAGTCTCATACCAAAAAGTGGAAAATTTTCTTTGAGAACAATTTATAATGACTAGGAAAGCAATAGGTATTGATTTGGGTACAGCATATTCATGTGTGGCTGTATTTCAATATGGAAAAGTTCAAATCATCCCTAATGAACAAGGCAATGGAATTACACCATCGTATGTTGCATTCACTGATACTGGACGTTTGATTGGTGATCCAGCTAAAAATCAAGCAGCTCGAAATCCACATAATACAATATTTGATGTCAAACGACTTATTGGTCGTAAATATGATGATTCAACTGTACAAGATGATATGAAACATTGGCCATTTAAAGTAGTTAATGATTGTGATAAACCAAAGATTCTAATTGAATATAAGAATCAAATGAGACGATTTACTCCTGAAGAAATATCTTCAATGATATTAACAAAAATGAAACAAATAGCAGAAGTTTATCTTGGTGAAAAAATTTCCGATGCTGTTATTACTGTTCCAGCTTATTTCAATGATTCACAACGTCGAGCAACAAAAGATGCTGCTGTTATTGGTGGTCTTAATGTATTACGTATTATTAATGAACCAACAGCTGCTGCTCTTGCTTATGGTTTTGATAAAAAAGTTTTGAATGAAAGACATATTCTTGTTTTTGATTTGGGTGGTGGAACCTTAAATGTGTCAATTCTCACAATTGAGCAAGGTATATTCGGCGTTCAATCAACCGCTGGTAATACACATTTAGGTGGTGCAGATTTCAATAATCGAATGGTAGCATATTTTATTCAAGAATTTGAGCGTACATTTGGAAAAGATTTATCAGAAAATAAACGTGGACTTCAACGATTACGTACAGCATGTGAATATGCTAAAGTAAAATTATTTTTAGATAAAATACTTTGCTTGATGTTTTTTTTAGCTTACATTATCTTCATCACCTCAAGCATCAATCGAAATTGATTCTCTGCATGAAGGTATTGATTTCTATTCAAAAATAACTCGTGCTCGTTTTGAAGAACTTAATGATGATTTATTTCGTTTAACACTTGAACCTGTTGAAAAAGCTTTATGTGATGCTAAAATGGACAAATCACAAATACATGAAATTATACTTGTTGGTGGTTCAACACGTATTCCAAAAGTACAACAACTTTTACAAGATTTCTTTAATGGTAAAGACCTTAATAAATCAATTAATCCAGATGAAGCTGTTGCATATGGAGCCGCAATTGAAGCAGCTATATTAATACGTGATCGATCTGAAGATGTTAAAGATTTACTTTTACTTGATGTTGCATCACTTTCATTGGTAAGTTCAACTAAAGAAAAAATTCTTTGATAAATTTTTTTTCTTATGATCTATTAAAAGGGTATTGAAACAACTGGTGGTGTAATGACAGCATTAATTAAACGTAATACAAATATTCCAACAAAACAAACAGAAACATTTACAACAGATTCAGATAATCAATCTGATGTAATTATTAAAGTATTTGAAGGTGAACGTGCAATGACAAAAGATAATAATTTACTTGGTTATTTTCAACTTGCTGCTATTCCACCAGCACCACTTGGTGTTCCACAAATTGAAGTTACGTTTGATATTGATGCAAATGGTATGTTAAATGTATCAGCTATGGATAAAAGTTCTGGAAAAGAAAAGAAAATTATAATTAAAAATGATAAAGGACATTTATCAAAAGATGAAATTGAATATATGATTGCTAATGCTGAAAAATATAAAAAAGAAGATGAAGAACAACGTGTTTGTATTGCAATTAAGAATTCACTTGAATCATATTGTTTTAATATGAAAATAATAATTAATGATGATAAATTAGCAGATAAAATTGATGCTGATGATAAGAAGAAAATTACTCATATCATTGAAGACACATTAAAATGGATGGAAACAAATTACGTAAGATCAATTTCATTTTTTTTAATCTTTCCCTAGTTGTTTTCTTTTAGTTTGCTGAAAAAGAAGAATTGGAAAATAAATTAAAAGAAGTTGAAAAAATCTATTTGTCAATAACAATGAAACTTTATTCAGATGAAAATGATATCAAAAGAATGCTAAGAGAATTTCATAGTGGCTCAAAAGGTAAGTGATCTTGATTTATTTGCCTATCTAAAATATTCTTCTAATTCATTTATTTATGTGAAAACTTTCATTAAGTTTTTGTCCTAATATTTTCTCTCTCAAGTGGACATAATATCGTTCCATTTAACATTTACTTGAGCGTTTGTGATTTTTATTTGGTTCATTTTAGTAAAACTTAATCTTGCTATTTCTTCATGAAAAATTTTTTGTCACGTCTTATTACTTTGATGTGCTGCATATAGATTTTTAGACTATGTAAGTTTTCTTTCTATTCATTCATTTTGTCGAGTAGTTAATACAAACAATGGTAGAATAATCAAGAGTAAAGTAACGAGTAAATCAATCTCAATATCTTATTCACTTTCGATCTCAGCTTAAAATTTATCCTCAATGTCACCTTTATTCTAACGATGGATTCGTCATTTTATGTTTTAGTTACCAGTCTTTTCTATAATGCATGCCGAAATAATAACATCGATTTTGTTAAATATTGTTTACAAACAAAGTCAGTGGAAAACATTAATCAAATAGAATTAAATGGATCTACTGCACTTCATGTAGCTGCATCTGAAGGACATGAAAAGATTGTTGAGTTATTACTACAAAATGGTGCATCTCATTCAGTAATAGATAAAAATAATTGTACTCCGATTGATAAAGCTAAAACTGATAAAATAAAAGAAATGATTCGTCATCAAATGAGAATAATTCGTTTCTTCAGTGATTCTATCGAATGGATTATTTCGACAACTGATACAGATTATCAAGTACAGAAATATTTATCAAAATTGGAAACATACGGCAAAGACTCGGAGTTTCAGAAACTGGTTGTTTATATAAAAGAAAACTATATTGAAAGAGATTTAAAATATGTTAATGATATCGGTGTAATACAAAAATATTTTGAGATCGGAATCAGCAAAAACGATCCTATTCCTTTATTAAAAGCATGTACAGCTGATACTGGTTTTTATTCTACACTTAATCTTCATCTATCACAATTACATCTTGAAAATCTGACTAACAACAAAAATCTTGGTCTAATATATTATATTGGAATAATTGCTCGACATCCAAAATTAGAAAGATTATCATATACTGGAATAACATATCGTAGTATGATCATTACTAATGATGATCTAAAACAATACAAAATAGGTACACGAGTTTTAACTAAAACATTTTCATTAACATCAAAACAATCAAATAAAGCATTAGAATTTGTTTGTAACTATAAACACGATAAAGACGATCGATTAAGTACAATATGTCAATATGAAATACATAATCGAAGAACTGCATTAGATGTTCAATGTATACCAATATTTCAAGATGGACAAGAAGTATTAATTCTTCCATATTCAACATTTAAAATAATTTCTATTAAATTAAATAAGAACAAATCACCTCAAGTTGAAATAAAACTAGAAGAATGTGAACTATAGTAGACCAAACTACCCATTGATGTTGTGATCTTTCCGCCTATAAAATTTATTAATATTTTATTTGTTATAAAAGAAATAAAAAAATTCTGTTTCATTCCATTATTTCATTGCGAAGTTCATTATTTTCTGTTCACATGAAACAGTTTTATGCTAAGACAATAATGATTGTTGTACTTGATGACGGCGATGATGATGCTTTCATTGAATTATTTATACTAGCCATCGTGCTTTTAATGGGAGATGATAACTGGTATGGGTGTGGGTGTGGATGTTCGCAAAGAGAATTGCCAGATCGACACCCACACCCCAATATAACAAGAATATCTAAAGGGCGTGGGATGTAGATGTACGTATGCGTCTTAGTATTATCCATTCACACCCACATCCTGTTAAGTGACGCTATTTTCGCAGATAATTCGACCTGAATCAACTTAATAGATTTTTTCTTTCAAATAAAATTAAACTTCAAAATAAAGCGAGCTAATCAGTGCATCATATTTATTTTACTGACCCCTTATTATCCTTATAATACTGTTAAAATGGTTCGAGTCTTTTCTATATATTGGGAAACTTTTATTGTTTACTAAACTCCCCTCCCCTCTCTCCGTAATAGAAGACCTCCCCTCTTGTATCACGTAAAAGCGTCAAAAGTTTCAAAAGTGATATTCTTATGTGAAACAGATGACTTTCTTGGGGGTCTTCTATAACGGGAAGTTTACAAGTATAGAGTATCATAAAATGCACTACTCAGAAACTATTTTGGCCTACTGTCATTTTTTCGCGCTAATCGGATCAAGAAGTTACAATTCATTGATATTTGTCTTTCAAAACATTACATGTTCCTACGCATCATTCTAACAAACTACATCGATTTTATTAATTCAAAATTTTGAATAAAATAAAGGATGAGAGTGTTCTCTGCAAAATGATTTAACAACTGAGAAATTCATAGCAGTCTTTCACACATAACTGAACTCATTTTGTACTTCTTCAAATCAAGAAATTACGAATATGTCAAAACTGTCATTATCAGTAGCATTACCTTCCAGAAAACTTTTCATCAAGATATTATTTTGTCAAGCGATCTTCACAATCTTTTATTCTTCAGAAAATCTAGAGTGATTTTTCTCTTCTATTCTGAAAATGTTTTAATGCATTGAAAATCGTCGAATCTTTATTCTTAATCTTTTTATAGATTCATTCACAAAATTCTGATTCTTAGTCGACTCTATAAAACTTCGACTGATCCTTTTCATCAGTCGAAAACAGAAAGCGAAATTTTGTTTCAAAACTTTCGACTCACAACTTATAACTCAACATTGCACTAGTTTAATTACGGCAAGAGTGAAGGTATATTTACAGTGATAGCCTCACCGACATCCACAATCAAGTCTGACGCATATCTCTCATGGTAAAGCACAAAATAGAGTGGACTAAAAGTCACTTTATCGAAAAGAAAAGCTTAAGTATCTCTGCAATACTGTGATCAAATAAACTGATTTTTGCATTGCTCATAAAGGAGTACTCATAGTTGAAATTCATACGCAAAATGCAGATAAATACTGCCTTAAAATATTACTATTAACATGAATATATATCTAAATTCTTTGATGAATTATGAAAAAAAAATAACTTTTTTGTAAATCATTCACTTAATATATCTAGTTATTAATAATTAGAACTTTCAAGAAACACTAAGTAAGAAAATATATATCTGTGACAGAAATTTGGGACCATACGATGCTCGATCGAAGCATTGACTGGAAATATCGTTTGTTCTTTATTTGTGATCATATGGATCAAAGTGTTTTCTCGTAACTCATCAAAGACTTCAGGTTTATATTCGTATTAATAGTAATACTTTAAAGCAATATTTTTTAGCATTTTTCGTAGAAATATCAACTGAGAGTGCTCCTTTATTAGCAGTGAAAAATCAGTCCATTTAGTCAAAGTATGACAGAGATATTCATGCTTTTCTTCTTGGTAAAGTGACTTTTGGCCCACACTGAATGTACAGCTTTCTTTACTTGAACTACTCATTATAACTAACAGCAACAAATCTGGTAAATAGAAATGTTTTTCGATTCTTACTTCACTCAAAATTCAGTTTATTTCTCTTGTTTCTTTGTTCACACTATCAGAGTATCCATCAAAAGCAGAATGAAAACAATCGAACTCATGATGCCTTGGTTTCTTTTTTCGTTCTTATCAGAAAAACAACAAATTTCCTCTGATAAAAAACTATGCGCGAGGCAAGATGTCCAACGTAACGCCACTTGAGACACGGTAAAGATGAAAGTCAAACGAAAGTTGGAAAGAATAGTGATGCATCCAACGCCGTTGTCCAATTTTTTCCTTCTTTCTTTTTGTCGACAGTTATCTTATCTCTTAAAACTCTATGACGTTTACCGTTGAGTGTTGACAACAAACAAACATCCACATTTAATGGCGTAGAAAAAGCAGAAGGCATCTGCTATATAAATAGAAGATATGGTCTCTGTTTAAACGACAAACAACTATCCACCATTCTCGATTGACCAACAAAAGACAATTCACAGTGAATATGAATGAACAAAATTCAAAACAAAATATTTTCAAATTAACAATGGGCACCAATGCAAGCACAACAGGTCCATCGCTTACCATGCGACCAAGACGATGCATCACTCAAAATTATTTCATCATCTGGGTCGATGGAAACATTGATCCAGCAAATAAAGATTACCAAAATACACTCGAACAACTACGAAGCATAGCCAGTGAAGTCTATACCTTTACACAACGCGATGAATGTGTTGACTTCCTCACTGAAACCGATGATCGAAAGGTATTTCTCATTGTACCAGATACTATGGGCCAACAACTGGTACCCTTCATCCATGATATTCCTCAACTTCATAGCATTTACATTAATTGCAGTAGCAAAACTTCAGAAGAAGATTGGAGTAGTCATTGGAACAAAGTTAACGGTATATTCACAGAAATTCCCCTCATCTGCGAAGCATTGCAAGTGGCAGTCAAGCAATGCAATAAAGATGGCATATCCGTAAGCATTATCAATGTTAATGAAGAAGATTCCAGCAAAGATCTCAATCAGCTTGAAGCCTCTTTCATGTACTCCCGAATATTCAAGGAAATTCTCCTTGATATGAAACATGGTGAACAAGCCAAGAATGATTTTATTCAATTTTGGCGAAACGAATACAGCAATAACACATCAAAGGCGAAAGATATCACTGAGTTCGAACTTCAATATAGTCGGCAATCAGCAATTTGGTGGTACACTCGCGAGCCTTTTCTTTACGAGATGCTCAATTGGTCTCTTCGAACACTGGATGGCGAGACAATTATAAAAATGGGTTTTTTTCTTGCTGACCTCCACAGACAAATCGACAATTTATACAAACAACAGGTCAGTCTTTATCATGGGAAGATCTTTCAAGTTTTCCGGGGACAGGGATTATCGACAGTCGACTTTGACAAACTCGAGAAGAACAAAGGTGGACTTATTTCCTTCAATAATTTTTTATCCACCAGTACAGATCCAGCTGCCTCTCTCGCTTTTGCCGAAAGTGCCGTAGGAAAATCCGGTATGGTGGGTATCTTTTTTCAAATGTACATCGATACGACTAACTTATCGACTCCATTTGCTTCTATCCGGGGACTGAGTAATTTCGCGGAAGAAAATGAAATCCTCTTCTCCATGCACACCGTTTTTCGAATTGGTGAAATTCGAAAACTTGACACTGAAAGTTTACTGTACCAAGTAGATCTTAAACTGACGTCTGATGAAGACCAACAACTACGTCAACTCACAGAAAGTATACTAAAAGAAACTTCACATGGGACATGTTGGGAACAATTGGGTGCAGTGCTATTAAAGATAGGACAATACAATAAGGCTGAAAAATTATGTGCCGCACTACTCCAACAAGCACCTAACGACGGTACTAGAGCTGCAATTTACAACAATCTTGCAGTGATGAAATCCCATCAAGGACTATACAAAGAAGCAACATCATTTCACGAAAAATCCCTTGAAATCGTGCGAAAAACTCTTCCGGAAGATCATCCTTTATTGGCTACTTCCTACAACAACATCGGTTTGGTGTATGACAACATGAGTAACTACACGAAAGCACTTGAATTTTACGAAAAAGCACTTAAAATCTTCGAAAAAGCTCTGCCTCCGAATCATCCCGATTTAGCTACTTCCTACATCAGCATTGGCACAGCTTATCACAACGTGGGTAACTACTCGAAAGCGCTTGAATTTTACGAAAAAGCACTTAAAATCTTCGAAAAAGCTCTGCCTCCGAATCATCCAAATTTGGCTACTTCCTACAACAACATCGGTTCGGTGTATAAAAACATGGGTAACTACTCGAAAGCACTTGAATTTTACGAAAAAGCACTTAAAATAAGAGAAAAAGCTCTGCCTTCGAATCATCCCGATTTGGCTACTTCCTACATCAGCATTGGCACAGCTTATCACAACATGGGTAACTACTCGAAAGCACTTGAATTTTACGAAAAAGCACTTAAAATC